ATGATGAAATGGATTAAACTTAAGAATCAAGTATAAAAAACTTTATCTTCAAAAAAAGAATAGAATTGCTTATATGAAATTTGCAAAAAAATATTAATCATTAATAGTAGAGGATTGAAATAAAATTATTTGATTAGATAAGTTAAAATTTATGATTTTAATATATTACACTTGATCACAATTTCTAATTGGCTATATTATGTGATAATATATATATAGTTTATAATAAGATAAAAGTATTCTATACTTATACTTTAAATAACAAATATTATAAAGTAGATAAATATAATAAATAATAAAATAAAAATAAATAATATATAAAATATATATAAATAAAATAAAAATATTAATTATGTTAAAGAAGTTAAAAATATTAATAATATTAAATTTGTAAAATTAACTTTATTAAATATCATTAAATAATATTCTTTAAAGTTATTTGAATATTATGAAATATAGTTTAGAATACTATTCATATTAGAAAATCTAAATTTAATTGTATAACAAATATATTTATTTAGATTTTAATAATATAAATAATAGAAAAAAATAATAATATTATGACAAAAAAAAAAGAATTTAGTATTTTTTATCATTTTTTTATTAAGAATTATAAAAATTATATATTTTAAGATTTAGATTTATTTAAAAATTAATTAATTACTTTATTAAATATTAAAATTTTTAAAATTACTATACATCATCACTGGTTAACATCAGTGTCACGTGATTTTTATTTAAATAATTTGTTACCTTACGTCATATAATAGGAAAACTTTCTTCTAATTAGTTTAAAATATTAATTAGCATTTCTATAATAAGTACGATCGACAAAAAGGTTGACCAATAATAAAATAATAAATATGATCATATGATCTCGACCATATACAAATTTAATATATAATAATAATATATATAATATTTTATATCTTTTGTGAAAGCAATGAAAGTAAATTAAAATATAATAAATCATTAATTATTTAATAGTTTTATTCTTTTCATATTATACAAGAGTATTTCAAAGTTTTTTTTAACTTTTTTAAATACAAGTTTTAAAATAAATTTTATAACAATATAAAAACCTTTAAGTTTTGTTATTATAGTATATCACCTCTAAGCAAACTCTTTTAAAACTGAAATTATTTTAGATTCTTTTTGCAAGCAGTTATTTAACGTTCTAAAGAATCAAATGGTAAGCAAAAATTTTTTTTTTACTAAATGTAATACTATTTTCTGAAAAAGTATTTTAAACTGTATAAATAATATCTAATTTAAATTGATCTGCAATAACCAATCATAGGAAAGTCTACTTATGATATATCATATCTTTTATATTTCATTTTTACTATATATTCTAAGGATAGAATTTTTTTAAGTGTAAAATCATATTCGTCACATATTATTCATCATCTATAATTTCAGCTAAAATTTATAATTCTGGCTAAAATGCCTTTTTAGGATGTTAAGTAATATTATATAAATCTAAAAAAAAAAATTTTGATTTTGGCAAAAATTAAAATATGATTATGTAATCTTTCAAAAAAGTAAATTAGTGTGATCATTAGTGGTGATAAATAGTAAACTCCTAAATTCTATTATATTTTTTTGCTAAATAAATATTATTAAACTTATAAGATTTAATTATTTATATTTAAACTTCTAATTTTTTGTTATCCATTTTTATAAAATTATAAAGTAAATATTATATAATAAACAAAAAATTTTTTTATAAAAACATATTTATCAAATATAAAATTAATTAAAATTATAATATAATTATAATCAATATAATGCATTTTTATTTATTTATAAAAATCTTTTTTTTATTGATTATTATTTTTTATATATATATTATAATTTTTTACATTTTATTATATAAATATATATTTTAAAAATAAATCTCAATTATAATTTTAATTATATTATTAAAAAAATAAAATCTAATTTAATTATTATTTATTTTAAAAAGAAATTATTATATAAATTTAATATTTAAATAATCAAAAAATGATTTTAAAATTTAAATTATCTGTATTTTCTAAAAAAAAAAAAAAAAAGATTTATTAGTAAATTATTACTTTATATAAATAAAAAAGTATTTTGTTAAAATAAATAATTGAAAAATATTTTGAATTATATAATTTGATATTATTAATATTAATAATTAAAATAATAAAGTAATATAAAATTATTATTGTTAATATATCTTTTCTTTTTCAAATATTTTATATATTAAATTTTATATAAATACAATTATAGTAAATTTATTTAAGAAATTTAAATCAAGTATTAAATAATTTAATTTTGATTTATAATATAAAATATTAATTAAGATAATATTTTTATTAAAAATTATTTTATTTTTTAAAGTTTATTTTCTTAATTTTTTTCAAGTTATTTTCTTTTATTTATATTTTTATGTTTTTTATATTAAAATATTCTATTATTTTATTTTTTTCTATATATTATTTTTATATTATTTTTTAAATTATTTCTTTATATTTTTTTTTTTATTTTTTCAAACTCTCTATATATTTTTATTTATTTTTTTAAAGTTTATTAATTCTTTAATTATAATTTTTATTATTCATTAATTTTATATTTTTAAATATTTTATAATATTTTTTTTTTTGTAATTTTTTATCTTTTTTAAAATTTTATTTTATATAGAAATATAAATATAAATTTATTAATAAAAAAAAATTACATTTTATTTTTAAGTTAATATTATTATTAAATTCTTTTAAATTATATTATTTTTAATTCTTTTTTAATTTTTATCTATTTTTATATTTGTTAATTATTTTTCTTATTCTAATCCTCTATCTTAAATTTTTTTATTTTTACAAATTTTATTTTTTAGTAACTTTTTATATATTATACAAGTATTTAATATTTCTATTTTTTCAATATTTTATTTGAGTTATAATATAATATTTGTATATTTGTATAATATACTTTAATTTTATTTTGATAATGATTTTCTTATTATTTACTATTAGTTTATCTATTTTTATTCTATAGTTAATTATTTTATATTCTATAATTTATTTTTTTTTTTATTATAATATAGTTAAAAAAAAAAATAATTTTATGCAAATATATATAAAATTGCAAAAATTGTATATAATAAAATTTATCATATAATTAGTTTAAATTGTTATATAATATTATATAAATGATTTTACTTTTAAAGAATATACAACTGTAATTGAAAATTTAATTAGAGTTTTGCTAATACTGATATACTTTTAAAAAAGGTTAATATCTTATTATCATTCTTTAAAAAATATTTATAAGAGAAAAAAGTTATTTTATAAGTTACAATATTAAAACAAATTTATCTACTGCATATTTTTTTTATAGCATTATAAAGATTTAATTTCAGTTTTTTAAAAAAAAAATCTGTAATAATTATAACAGATAAATTACAAATATTTTATTATAAAGATAATACAAAATTGATCTCAATAGATTTTTTAATATAATTTAACAATATAATAATTTAGTCAAAATTGTGTTAATATTATTATAACTTTTCAAATTCCCTTTAAATTTTTATTATAAACTCTGCTGTATATATGAAAAAATCTTTCAAAAAGTTTTAAAATCTTTAATACTACAACTTATTCATATTCTATGTTGTGTACATATTATAAATTTTATTGGATATAAATTTTAATATAATCTATTATTTATATTTATTATATTATATGTTTTCTATTAATATTATTATTTATTTTAGCGGTACATAGAGAATTTTTTCTCATTTTGAATATATTAAACCTTATTTCAAAAGATTAAAGATTATTTTGCACTAAAGATGGCATCTCAATTAGTTGCAACAAGTGACATATAAGAATCATAATTTTGCAATTAATTGTAATATTATTAAAAATCGACAAAGAAGTATTATGGTATTACAACGCCATCTTTATTTTGCATATTTTCCTACATGAAAAATTGATATTTGGATCATTTGCAATTATATTATCTCGAAAAATTCCTCTTCTAATAAAAAGTTATTGGATACTTAGTTTGAGATGATATTTTATACTTTATTAATTGAAATATACAGTAAAATATGAAGCACGTGAAATTTAATCAGTGAATTTTGTTTGCGGTAATCACTTTGTGAAATTTGATAAAAGTTAACTGAATGATGTTTTGTTATTTATTGTATAAGAACAACAACTTTTTAATTTTTGTAATTTTATAATAGATTAATAAAAGCATGCTTCTTTACTTTGTTTGACCATTCCTTCATTATAAATTCTCCCAAATCCCTGATATTTTTTGATGAATAAATCGGTATGATAACTGTATAAAAAAAAAATTTCTCAAAGATAGAAATTAAAATGCATAATAAAAGTTCGATGCCAAAAGTTGATTTTAGATTATGCGATTTTAATTTTATAGGTAATGTCTAAAGAACTCGTGTTCCAAATACATTTCTCTCATTTGCGATTTTTTTCGTTATCCATTTTAAATCTAGATTTTAGAGACTGAAGAATCGATTTAGAATGTATTCTGTGAAAGAAAATGTGACGAATTTTCTTGAGGGGTTCATGATTATATTTCTAGAAAACACATCAGCTTTTCACAATATATCCGCTATTTAATTTGAAAATGGGTAGCAAAAATAAGATATTTAGTAAACTTGGATTACAAAAATAGACAGAAAGATTAACTGTAACGCGTTATATTTTTATATAATTAGCGAAAAGTAACTTTGTTTATTAAATAATTACATAATTATATAAATTTTCTTAACATCAATATTCAAAGAACAATCTCGTTAATTAATTTAAGATCAATATATGCTTGCACTTCACCAGATATAGATTAATCTATAACTGTTTCTCCTGGACACCGCGTAGAGGTGGCAAGCCTTGTTCAGGTTAAAAATTTTTTTTTGACAGATTATCAGAACACGTCAATCAATGACCAAGATCATCATATAGTCCAATCAAAAAAATTACCACAGGCAACATAATATGATGTTAATGGTTACCAGTATAAATAAGGAACAAAATCCCCAAATACCGAGAAAACCAAAAACAGAGTAAGCAATATAAAATGTAGCCCTTTAATCCCAAATTAACTCGGTATAATGATCTCTAAAGCAAAGCTTCAAAGATCACTGGTCCATCATTACTCACTTTAAAGAGTTCTTCACAGGAAATTAAAGCTGGATAGACTGGTAACCGGGTATTATAAAGCCACGGGCAAAACGCCCGATAACTCAGTATAATGACCTCCAAGGTTAAACCTCAAAGACCACTGGTCCATCATTACCTGCTTTAACGATTTCTTCACAGGAAAACAAAGCTGGATAGACTGAAACTGGTTATTATAGCCGCAGGCAAAACGCCCGATAACTCGATATAATGAATTTAAGGTTCGACTGGTTAAACTTCAAAGATCACTGGTCCATCATTACTCGCTTTGACAATTTCTTAACAGGAAATTAAAGCTGGATAGACTGGAAACCGGGTTATAGCCGCAGCCGATAACTCGATATAATGACTTTTACCGTTAAACTGGTTAAACTTCAAAGACCACTGGTCCATCATTACCCGCTTTGACAATTTCTTCACAGAAAAATAAAGCTGGATGGGCTGGAAACCGGGTTATTTGGCCATAGGCAAAAACTCCTAATACTCCTCTTTATCTTTGGTGTATCAAAGAAAAGAACTCGGAAAACTTTAGGTAAACAGTCATTTTATATTGTATATAGAAAAATGTTAGTCTTATACTTGAAAGTAAATAAAAAAAAAAAAATACAAAAAAAAAGGAAATAAATAGAAAATATACCTTCGGTGTTGAAGCTTTCGGTCCGTGAGAAGTTGAAAGAAGTAAATTTTTTTATTTCATGCAATAAGGGGGTTTTAAATCGTATGTCACGTGATACCGTTCAGGTAAATTCTATTGACTAAATTCATCAATTAAATTAATTTGAATTGAATTATATATAAGTTTTGTTAATGATTATTTTCCTTATAATTAAACTCCTAAGTTAAAAATACCAAGGATGCGATCTTTATTCAGCTGCTTAAAATGACACAATCCTGCTTTGCTCATTTATAACTGAGCCAAATCTTTACTATACAAATTCAAATCGAATAGATAATACGTTGTTTAGAGATATATGATCCGTAATGTGATTTTGGTATAAAATATGTCAAATCGATAATACAAACATTTAGTTATTTTATACATTAACGTAAAAAAATGTCAATAGAAAGATAATTGGGTATGATAAAATGACAACGTAGGTAAATACAATTATTCAATTTATTTATGAACTTTACAAGTATATAATTAGTTAATCACAACTTAATGCATTATAAAATTTATGAAATAAACAAGTAAAATAAATAAAGTTCAAAATTATGAGAGTGGCCAATTAAGATAATTCAAATCCAGTATTAGAATGAATGGCTATAAAAAAAAATTAGAATTGAAATGAATTGATGTTTTTATTTCATTATATTGATTTTAGAAAAATTATAAAACAACTTGCCATATTTTAGTTTCTCCTTCATAACAGATTTTTGTGAATATGCTAATATAAAAAAAAAAAATATTATTATTAATCCAATTACTTTTCGTAGAAAAACTTTTACAAATCTTGATAATCTATACTCACACGGTAGCTTTAATAAATTAAAGCTAATAAACCGATTTTATTAGTATACCTGCTTGAAAATAAATATATTTAAGAAATGCTCATACTTACCATGTTGAACTCATTGGTAGTCGCTCCTTTGAGGCGGATTTTAAATTTCCAAGAGAAGAAAATAAAGATTTAACTTGTCCCATACTCAATCTTGAACGTGAGGAATTGACATTTTCTACAGGTGAAGCATGATCACTTGAAATCATACGAATCGTAAATTGTGGTTGAAGATATCTATAAAATAAAAAAATTTCCGAGAAACATTAATTATATATTTTAACTTATAAAATACTATATTATTGAACCGAAAGCTTACTTAAATCCACCAAGTGGTGGCTAAAAATGTATAAGAAACATGTTATTATAATACACGTGTAAAAAAAACCACTCTTTTGCTAAATAAGTTCAAAATGGAGGCTCAAACCTTGGAACAACTCGTAACAAATTTAAGAAATGCGCTTTTATCATTTGAATTCATCTCTTCTAATATAGACCAAAAATGCCGTATACTTCGATGTTGATCGAAGTATCCATTCTGATATAACGTATATTTACGCAGATCAGAAACGTCTAGAAATATTGTAAGTTAGTTTAATTTTAAATGAATAAACGCTAAAAGAATAATTACCCCAATTAACGTCCTCCCCGGAAAGAACGCTGTAATTAAAGATATAATTATATGATAAATATTTACTTAAACTACATTATTATCAGTTAAATCTACATACCGTTGCAGTTCTGGTGGTGAAAACATCCTTAGCCAATTTTCGGGTATCATAGATTGAAAACTAATCGTAAAGAGCAAATGGTTACTATTAAAATATAATTTGAAATGTCAACAAATGAGTACAAACCCATTAATGAATGCTCTGGTCTGTTCTTTTGCCTGTTTATTCAACTTGTAATCAGCCATGAGATATATGTACTTAATAATAAATAAAGAAAGTTAATATCTATACCCATAATATTATATTAAATAAAATTACAACTTTTTTAGAACAAACCTGAATCCTATTGTCATTAGTAACAGACAAGTGCGATCCACCTATCCTGAGATCTTTTGAAACGACTTTTCCATTACTTTCTTCATCAACCGCAAAATATAACCCCAAATCCTCAACATTCCCTAAAAAAAAAAAATTTTACATATCAACAAATATATATAACCAATTTCAACTATAATTCGACTTAATAAAATACTAGATACCATCATATCTTTTTAAAAACAATAAATTCTTCAGTAAATCATCGTCCAGTCCAATTAAATCTTCCAGAAAAACAGCTCTACCAGCCATTTTACTTAGGAAAAATCCAGCAAATTGTACATCGACTAAAATACCTTCCTGTATTGCTCTCGCGATCATCTTACCCAAAAATGAATATAATGTAATCTTTGTTGACGTATTCTGATGATTTGGATAAAGCATTGAACTATTAGGAGTTACAGCAAATAAACCACAAGATGGGTCAAATGCTATAAAATAGAATAAATAAAATAAATGAATTAGTCTGATACAGTTTAACCGAGAAAAAATTTTAAATCAAACCTTCAGCGATAAGCTGCGTTATGAATTCTTTAAATGGACCTCCTTGATCCACACCATCTTCCTCGGCACCTAAATTTCAACGTAAGAATTGTCATTAATCATGAAATAATCTTAAGTTATTTCTGTAACAAGGTAAAGATAAATTTTACCAGTTTCGTTTACAAATTTTACGCGAATTCTTCCTTTTGTTTTCACCGGATTTAATCCACCCAAATGTTTATAACCATCATCCAACACATGATCTCTCCTAACTCTAATCATAATTTCACTATTTAAAATAATTGGGACACCATTTTTCAAATAATCACGAAAAATTTCTAATCTCGTTTCAAATGGAATCGTATGCGGTAATAAATTAAGAATTTTAATCGATATAGGATCATTATCACGGATTCGATCCAAGAACGACATTCCCATAAGTTCCTTGTCATTATTGTTACTTGACAAAGATTTTTTGAAAAGGTCTTTAAGCGATTTTGGTAAAGATTTCTTTGGATCTTTAATTAGTAGCCAAATACTTTCTTCAGAAAATGAACGACGCGTGTCTCTCGAATGTAATTGAAGTAAAACCCTACGTGCTGATTCAAATATTGTTGGTGGATAACCTTCAGGTGATGAATGACTTAATAATGCGAAGCAAAATCGGTTAAAGAACACAGCCATGGGAATTACATCTGTTTCAATTGAAAAAGGATTTTGCATATCATATAGTTCATCGTCGTCCGTCGTTCTAAAATTAATAGTCAGAAAATAATTAGTTTTTTTTTTTTGATTATTTATCATGAAACCTTTTAAATTATACTCACAACAATAATATACTGCAACATTCACAAAATAATTCTAATATACTTATCAAAGGTTCCTTTTCTGGCGCTTTTACTACAGATCCATTCAAGAATATCTCCATATTCCCTTTTGGACCCAAACACATTAAAAACTTCCAAAGATTAGGAACGAGACTTGGAATATAAGTTAAATTCATTATGATATCATGTTTTTGATCGGTGAGAAGTTTTAATAGCAATACATATAAACGACAAACCGCTTGAGTTTCAATAGCATAAATTGTAACTTTTCCTGAAGTCAAACTAATTTTCTTATCGCTAAAACTATTTTTTCTTGGTGATAATTTTAACAGATTACTTTGATCTTTAACCGTAGGTTTAAAATTCAAAACATGATCAAACGCCTTGAGTATAAACAGTCTCTGCCATAAATATTCAAGCTGTGTAATGACTAAATTAAAATGTGAATTTGGAATATTTGAATCATGTTTTCCAGAATACCATTTAAATATAGGATGATATTGATAATGTGTATTTGATTTTATAGAAGAAACAAATTTATGACAATGTTGAAGTAAAGAAGTTATAATTTCGATAAAATCGTGAATTTGTATTGAAGAAACTTGCTTTACTTTCGATGAAGTTTCACTTATCGATAAAGCGATTAAATCTGACTTTGACACAAGTTCAACGATATTTCCCATCAAAAATATTGCATCATTTCCGGTTAGCCCATTTAAGATTTGTAATAAAGAATCATTATCAC